AAAAAAAAAAAAAAAAAAAAAAAAAGTCTTATTGCCACACAACCACATCATCTCAGTGTTGTTCCATGGCTCCTGCTTGGTCAGTCAGGAATTGGGTGCAGACAAGAGTGACCTCTGGCCTGCAAAACCACAATATTCACTCTGACTTCCACGGAAAAAGGTTGCTGGTGCCTGAGCCACTCGTGTGCCTGAGCCACCGTGCAGTTCCTGTCTCCAGTCACAACCATGGTGAGAGGCAGGAATGCCCCAATCACAGCAAGGGAGTGGGGTTCACAGAGGGTGGGCAAGGCGGCATGAGAGGGGCCGGTGAGAGCCGCTCAGCTGGGCCCCCCAGAGCCTGGCGCTGCCAGGCTGGCCCTCTGGAGACAGCCTCAGAACATGTGCATGCCGTATCCTCCTTTTCTGTAAACACAGACTATAGTTTCTTCCTTACTGGTTCATATGACCTTAATGAATACGAAGGTGCCTTTTGCACTGTTCCTCCAACCTGGCTGGTGTCGTTTATGTCTGATTCGCATGTACTGTGTAACAGGGAAAGCTTTTGCCAACTGAATTTACCTTCAGCGTGGAAAAAGTTAATCTTATAATTTGGTAATTCGGCTGGGCTGCTATTTTTCCATTTAGGCAAATACTGAAAGTTATAAAACGTACAGATTTAGAAAGCAAGATTAACCACATTTTCCAACTAATATGATCCTTTAAAGATATTGCATGCTAAATGGGGATGGAAGGGCTTTGAGACAATTGCTAGATCAACTACTATCTTATCCAGCCAAGCTGACATTTCCTTTCAGAGCAGACTGCACAGCAGTGCCCTTCAGGATGGAGAAGTGGGGCAGCGTGTGGCCATTCACGAAGGGATCTCTGTAGAGATCATCACGGGGTAGTCATGGGGTATTCTACCTGTGAAGAAAGCTGCACTTTGGTCCGCAAATGCGTCTCAACTTTTGTGTTTATTTACAATGAATGGAGGAGGCAGATTTGGGTTAGCAGAGAAATCTCTAATGATACAAGTGGCACTCAGAAGACAGTGGGGTCCGGCACCTGTAGTCCTTGGGAGGAGTCCCCCGGCCATGAAAGGCATTCAAGGATTTGATGTGAAGGGAAGTGGCTGTAGCGGCCCCTCCTCGGTCTGCAGACCCGGTAGCTGTGCATCTTTATGAATTGATGGTTCTTTCATTTGGAAAAAAGTCTGTCCAAACCAACTGCTTCAAAAAAAGCTTTGCTTCTATTTTTACAGCCAAAAATGAAATTTATTTTGGATGAACCAGATATATATCTTCAATATTTTTTAAAGATTTCATAAGCAGCTGCTATGTAAAAGCTTAAGTGGGGAATGTCTGGTTCAGTCTGCTCTTTTCTCAAATTCATGAGTTTATTATGTTTTTAAATTTAACAATCTCCTAATTTAAGAGCAAAATAGAAGCCCTTGAAAAGGGAAATTTTCTGCCTTTCATAGGGAATTGGTGTAATTTCCTTCTATTTTAATGGACTGAACAATTTTATAAATCATTTTGCTGTAGACCCCAGGAACTCAGAGCTCAATTCTGACAGAAAACTGTCACATTTAGAGCCCCTGGTTGGATGGTGCACCTTCTGATCCCAGTGTTTGCTCTGCTTTTTTTACTCTGGCTTGTTTTTGGTGGTCCTCCTTTAGCTTTCTTCTATGGTATGTTCTTACAGGTCAGGAGACCATGTCATCAACTGTCCAATCCAGGACAGTAAAATTGAGAGCTAACGGTAACCTCCCAGGGGAGAGACACTGGGACCATCCTGCGAACCAGGACATATGATCCTCTTCGGTGTAGGGCACAGATCAAAATGGAAATCAAAAGTGAACAGTTAAAGACAACAAAATACTGGGGACAGTCTGTGGTGCTACATCCCAGTGCAGTCCAAAAAACTAGGGGCCAAGGTTAGAAAGCATAACTGAGTTTCAAAATGAGAAAGCATATGGTTTCCACAGCTTGGTCACGACACAGCATAATCACACAGAGAAAAGCTACATTTTGGATTTTTCTTTTTTAGCTTTTTTTGCTTTTAGCGGAAAACATTCTAAAAACACCGCATCGGATGCATGGATGCTAACTAAATACACTGTGACCGGAAATGAAAGAAACCCGTGGCCTACTAGAAACATGTCTGGATCACAGAAGTGGAGGGCAACACCACACCCTAAGGACCGGGGTCCAGCCGCACTTCTGCACCTCATCCCAGCCTCTGCCTGTGGGGCTCCTGGCCGTGCGCCCCTCTCCAGCTGGCCGCCTGGGCAGTGTAACCTGGGCTCGGAGCCCGGCCCCTCCTCTGCCAGCAGGGGCAGCCTCAGCACAAAGGATGGGGCGTCTTAACGACACACGTCCATGCCCACCACAGCCCTGCGGCATTGTTTCCAACCTCCCCTATAAACAGCATGGAGACAACCTTCACTGGGGTCTTCAATGATTCGGTTCTTAACCTCTGAATGCCAGGGCCTCTTGTTTCTTTGAAGCTTAGGACCCTTTTCGCTGGCAGTGTCACACTGGGTGGTTTTCTTTGTCAAGCCTGTCCAACCGTGGAGTGATTTATCTCTCTCCACATTACATTGAGGACTGTTCTAAGATTCTAAGAAGGGGAAAATCCTAACACAAAAGAGTGCTAAACACTTCTTTTGAATGGAATATCCCTGAATCAAAAGTTTAAAACACTTGAAGTGCCTGATATCTGAAATATAACATTTACTATACAATATAATTCTGCACAATATAGATACCAGTTTTTCAATTTGTGAAGAAACTATCACATTTGCAGTTAGACTGAGGGGCCAGGACATGGGGTTGAGTTTTAAAAGCAATATTCATCTTACTTTAAATTTCATGATACTTCTGCCGTGTAATACAAATTATATCCACAATTTTTTAAAAGTCTACAATAACACGCATCAAATTACTGTTCAGGGATAATTTCCTGTGGGGAGCAGTGGGGGGATAAAGATGTCACATTTTTACTCCATCCTCGTGTGCTGGACGGTGAGACCAGCAACGGCAAAAGGAGCAAACGTGGACAAACCCAACGGCTAAGGGCCTGGGGAGAAAAACAGTACCAGCGAGCAGGTTCGGGGACAGCGGCGCGTACTGTGGCCAGGTCTTCCGCCGCTCCTCAAGCCCTGCCCCACCGCCTGCCCACTGGGGACTTACTCCGGTCGGTTGCACTCGCGAATGGCCATCTTGATGCCCCCGCCACAAGTTCTGGAGCAGGCGCCATAGGGACTCCAGCTTCCCCAGGATCCGTCAACCGCGGGGCCCTCCATTTCTTTGGGAACACAAAACCCAAACTTGCAGTGCTGTTTAACAAGGGGAACAGTGAGGGAGAGGCTGGTGCCGCGGATCCCCATATGCCCAGCTGTGCCCTTCGACATCCCCACCGCAGAGTTGTTCCCTGGCTGCTTTGCAAGCGGCAAACGCATCCCTGCTGCGAACCAAGGATGCGGTGGGGGTTCTGATCTCACGCCTACTGATTTTAGGCCATGCCTGGCTCGAAAAACACTGTGAGTGTCGGCTACAATCTGGCAAGGGCGCCGGTGGTGGCAGCTGTACCCTGCTCACCGAGCCCTGTGCCGGGGAACCGGATGCAAACAGGAAAATCGGAGGGCTACAGGTCAAAACAGGCACAGCGCCTGAGCAGCGCGTCCCCGGCCACAAGGTCCAGACATGTTGCAGGAGTGGGAAAACACAACGCCCTATTGTCCCTGGGGATTAGAAAAGCTCATTTTAACTAAATGGAGATGGGGAGAGAGGGCACTAGCTACACAGTCCCCATAAACTACAAGAGGGACTTAGGGTCAGACTAAAGCATGTACAGAGAGCCCTAAGCTTTACTATTTTTTCTTCCTCATGATCTCAGAAACTCCAGCCTGCAGCACGAAAAGGGCCTCAGACACTTAATAATAACATCAAGCTCCTCAGCAGGGCAGGGAGCGGGGGAAGCCCGTTCCAGCCCCGCCCTCGCTGGGGTGTGAAGCCCAACAGGGGGCTGAGGTCACAGCAGAGGACAAAGGAAGCTGGCGGGAAGGGAGGCCAGCGACCTGCTCAGATCTCTGGAGCAGAGCGGTGCTGGGTGGTGCGGATGAGGGAGGACAAGGGGAGAGGCAGGAGCCAGGGCGGAGGCCAGGGTGGGGTGCGGCAGACTGGGGACAAGTATTTCTCCAGCCCTGCACAGTGCTCAGTGCCCTTCTGGTATGGCTGGAGCACAGAGCCTATGATTCTCCCTGGAAGCCACTTAATACCACACAGGCCACCTATGGAAGCTTTAAGAATTTCTAGAAGCCACATTTTTAAAAGCTTAAAAAAAATTGATTTTTTTTTAATTAAAAAAATTTTTTTAAAAATCGATTTAATATGTTCCACTTTCCTAATACGTCTAAGATGCCACTATTTCTATAAGCTCTCAATCTACAGACCAGGAGTTATCCTTTATCCATCCAAAGCTTCAGTTCCTGAACTGCTGCTAATGAGCTGCCCGTCAGTCAGCAAACACCACATGCAAAGCTCCAGGTCAGTCCCACACACAGGAGGCTGCTACAAGGATGGCTGTAAGTGTCCTGCTTCCTGGTGGTTTTCTTTGTGTGTCTCTTTCTGTGCCTAACACAGAAGTCAAGCTTTATCACAGGTATGTGTATATGAGTAGGAAAAGACAGGACAGGGCCAGGATTTAACTCAGTGGTTCCGCTGCCTGCCTTCGATCCCCGGTAGCCAAAAAACCCAAACAAAACATACAAACAGGCCTGCAAATCAGACCTTTCCTAGTGGCACAACCGTTAGTGGGATCCAGATCTTACATGGAGTGAAGACCCCAGGAAGAGGTGACCTAGGCTGGATGTGGGGGCTGTCTGGGAACACGCACCCGGGGGGTCTACTCACTAGGGAAGTCCGACGGATCACCCTGCCTCTGGACAGACACTGCCAACCTAGCGAAGCGAGGCTGGAGGGACTGGAGCCAGAAAAAAGTCGGCCTTTCTAAACGTGTCCAAAGCCATTTAACCGATACTGCACACAAATGCGTCTTTCAAAATGTTTGGAAAGGGGACTTACAGGTCAGTTTTGTTCCAAGAAGGCTTGACACAAGAGTTTCAAACCTCAATCTCACAAACAGGGTTAAAATGAAAATGTTTACGGACTTAACCAAAGAAAGGAGAAATAAAGAGACATCAGTGAGTCATCTGTCGAACTAACACTGTGTCAGCAGCCCAAGACTGAGTATTGCCGAAGGAACAGGGCAGGAAAGGGGGACAGGGGTGGGGAAGAGGGAGAGA